CATATAAATTAAAATCTAATGATTCATATCCTACTCTTGGCAGTGCTTCACTTCTGAAGTTTTGGACCTTCTTTAGGGAGAGATAGGTCTTGAAACTCATTTGTTTAACTGACAATCCACTGAAAAGTTTCAGTTGATGTTAGATATCATTATGGAATATAGAATAAAGAATGATTCTTGAGGCTAATTTGGAAAAGTTACATTTTTTTAGTTCTTTTATTAATGCCTTTCTAATATCATCTACATTTTATGTATAAATTTATATTTTCTCAAGCTTACTGTTATATGTAAAAGTTCAGTCATCCCTGATCAAATTATAAGTTTTAGTGAATCCCTAAATGAACAGAAAGCTGACAGAACCTCTGCATGGTATAAAGTTAAACACAATATTTTTCCACAAACTTGAATGTATACTTACCATTTAAGTGCAAGTTGTTTATGAGTACAGAATAAGAAAACAATGAATATGGCAGGTGCAGAAGTTTTGACATCCTGTCAGTCAGTACCTTGTAACACCTCTTGTGGCAGAAATAGTGTCCAAAGTTGTTCTGTAGCCAGCTAAGAGTTCTTGTATTCTATGGGTTTTAGGGCCCCCCATATGCAGTGGTTTGCCATCTCTAAGACTGGTCCCCTTCCCTAGGTGAGAGCTAGTGGGGGAGGTTGGTTAGTTAAGGAGGGTGTGGTTTGAGAGGGGGCCTTGCCCAGTCCGGTGAGAGTGGGTGGGGGGCTGGTTATGATTTTGTTGGGTGAGTATGGGGGAGGTGGTTATTGATAACCTGGTGGCGCTGAGAGCTAATGCTGAAGTGCCTCAGGGGACTTGGTTTCCCCTTCCTGGGATGGATCTTGTGGAGGATAGGTGGAGATCCTCGACCTTGGGCACCAGGACGGTTGGAGTGGGGGCCGTTGGAATCTTGGATTGGGTGGGTTGGAATGTCACAGTGGTGACGGTCGGGGTAGATATGGTGGGAGACAGGGAGTGGACTATTCTCAGGGAACACAGTCCCTATACTTATACCGGTTCTGCGTTCTCTGTACTCAACCCCTGTGCTCAGTCAGCAGATTGTCAGAGGCCCTGGCTTCCAGCTGCTACCTGTACTACTAAATGCCAGGTTGTTCTGTAATAGGACCTCCCTCATTTGTGATTTAATCACAGGCTGACCTGGCATATATTACTGAAACCTGGCTGGACCCAGAAGGGGGGGTCCCCCTCTCAGAAATGTGCCAACTGGATTTTGGGTGTGGCATCAGCCGAAATCTCAGGGCAGGGGTGGTGGTGTGGCAGTTGTCATCCGAGAATCTCTTAAGGCTTTCAGGGGCACTGGTCCATAGGTTGCCAGATGTGGGATCCTGTTTGTTAAGTTGGGCTCTTGGGATCAGTTGGGATTGTTGCTACTGTACCAGCCTCTCTGCTGCATTGCAAGCTCCCTGCCTGAGCTACTTGATTCCATTTCTAGGTTGGCGGTGGAGTTCCCCAGACTTATGGTCTTGGGGAACTTCAGTCTGCCTTCTCTCGGAGTGGGGTCAGAGGCAGCTCAGGAGTTCATGGCTAACATGACAGCCATGGGCCTATCCCAGGTCATCCAGGGCTTGACACGGGACAGCGGTCACACACCTGACCTAGTTTTCCTGTTGGAACAGTGGCAATGTGATCTGGAATTGGGGGAGCTTTTAGTGTCTAGCTTGTCATGGTCAGATTACTATGAGATTTCTTGGTGCCACTACCTGCAGCAGGGAGGCAGGACCTATTAGATTGGTTCGTCCTTGGCGACTGTGGACCCTGATGAATTTCAGAGAGAGCTGGGGGCTGTTCCTGCTGGTCTGCTCTTGGCCCATCTGGGGCCCTGGTGGCTGCTTGGAATAAGAAGGCTGCTAAGGCCTTGGATCAGATTGTGCCTACACAACCTCTCCCCTCTTGTGGATTCCATCATTCCCCATGGTTCACGGAGGAATTGAGGGAAATGAAACAAGAGAAAAGATGTCTAGAGCGTTGCTGGTGCTTGATGAGGGAAAACTTGGCTGAACATGTTAGAGTCACTATTAAGGCCTACCTCATGGTGGTAAGTGTGGCAAAGCTACAATACTTCTCCACCCTTATGGCATCCACAGATAGCCATCCCACAGCCTTCTTTCAGGTGACACGTGCCCTCTTGGATAGAGAGAGCTTGGAAACTTCCCTACAGGGCCACGCAGAAAAATTTGTGCAGCATCTGTCGGACACAGTCACTTGAATTTGTTCTCAGTTGGATGCTGGCATTTTTGCAGGTCCTAGGGAGATGTCCAGGGCAGAGTCTTGCCCTGTTATCTGTGAACAGTTTGAACCTGTTTGACCTGAGGAAGTGGACAGAGTTCTTATGACTGTGAGCTTGGCCACCTGCTCTTTAAATCTGTGCCCTTCCTGGCTAACTAAAGCTGCCAGGGAGTTGTCATGCAGGTGGGCTCTAGCAGTGGTGAATTCTGTCCTGAGTGAGGGGGTTGTTCCTCCACCCCTTAAGGAGACACTGGTTCATCCCCTCCTCAAAGAATCATCACTGGTTCCCACCATACTGAACAATTTTCATCCAGTGTCTGAGCTCCTCTTTTGGAGGGAAGATAATTGAGAAGGTAGTCATGAAGCAGCTTCAGCGGACTCTGGATTAAGAAGATTAGCTGCACCCCTTTCATTTGGGGTGGATATAGGATGGAAACGGCATTGGTTGAACTTTTGGATGATCTCTGGCAGGAGCAGGATGGAGGTTGTGCATCCATCGTCACTCTATTTGACTTCTCAGCAGCCTTCGATACTATTAAGACTTTCTGGATTGGCCCTGGGAATTGGGGGTGGTTGGCACAATGTTGTGCTGGTTCTCCTTCTTCCTCTGGTCATTTCTAGTTGGTGGTGATTGGAGAGGAGAGATCCCCCTCTTGGTTCCTACTCTGTGGGGTTCCACAGGGTTTGGTGCTCTCCACTCTCCTATTTAATGTCTAGATGAAGCCATTGGTGATATCATCCGTCACCATGGGGTGAGATATCGCAGTACACCGATGATACCCAACTATACCTTTCTGCCCCTGGCGACTTAAGCAGTGCTGTTGATGTCCTATCCCAGTGCCTGTAGTCTGTGAGACCCTGGATGGGGAACAACAGACTTCAGCTGAACCCTGGCAAGACTGAGTGGCTCTGGGTTTTGGGGCCCTTCGGCTCAGGGACTATGCCATCTTTGGTACTGGATGGGGTTACACTGCCTCCAACAGATCTTGTGTGCAACTTGGGGGTCCACCTAGACTCATGACTCCTGCTGTAAGAGCAGGTGGCAGTCATGGTTAAGAGACCTTTTGCACCAGTTGCACCCATTCCTGGACCTCTGCTCACAGTCACTCATGCCCTGGTAACCTCCCAAATGGACTACTGTAATATCTTTTACGCAGGGCTGCCCTTGAAGAGTATCTGGAAGCATCAGCTGGTGCAAAATGCAGCAGTGCAGGCAGTTATGTGTGCCCCTAGAATGGCACATGTTACATTTTTGCTCCACAAGCTGCATTGGTTGCCAGTTTGCTTCCGGGTCCAATTCAGGGTGCTGATTTTGACCTTTAAAGTTCTTCATGGCATGGGACTGGGCTATTTGAGGGACGGCCTCCATCCGATTACATCTGCCCGTCCCATCAGGTCTGGCAGAAGAGGTATGCCTGGGGATCTCAAGGCAGTGGTGAGTTAATGAGATGGTCGCATTGTTTTTAACATCAATTTCCTTCACTATCTTGTTATTAATAATATTGCTGATGTTTTTCAGTTGTAGTTTTTTAACATTTGGATGTTATGATTGTTTTTATTGTAAGCCATCTAGAATCACTTTATTGTGAGATGGGTGACTATATAAATGTGAAAAGTAAGTAAGTAAATCTCAATCTCAATCTCAATCTCAATCTCAATCTCAATCTCTCTCTCTCTCTCTCTCTTTCTCTCTCTCTCTCTCTCTCTCTCTCTCTCTCTCTCTCACACTCACTCACTCACTCACTCACTCACTCACTC